ATGTTACTATTTTATAAATTACTTAATAAAGATATAAGCAAGACTTCACCTTAAAAAAAAAAAAAAAAAAAAAAAAACATATACTTTCTCATCTTTTATTTTTTTTATCTACTATTAACATTCTCTCTGACCTCCTTACTAATCATCACAATTAAGTTATAACTAATCTTGGTTTAACTTCATTCTATCTAGTTTACAATAGTATTAACCAAGATAAAACTATTACTCTTTTGTTATAGTGTATTTACTATAATTTACTTATCTCCTATATATACTTAAACACTTTTGGTTACAAATTACAATCCTCTTGGATAGGGTTGTTAATGGTAGGGTTGGGTTGGATTAAGCAACTCCTCAACCCACTTTAGCTTGAGTTGGGCTCACTCCGAAGCCACTCCAGATTTGCTTAGAGCTGCTTCAGTTTACTTCAGTTTTATTACAGATTTTTAGGCATATCTTTAATCCACTTCAACTTGAATTGAGCTTACTCCAAAGTGGCTTCAGAGTATGCCACTCCATTAACAACCCTACTCTTGGACTACTAACCTTAAATTTCAAACATTCAACTTATTACAAAAACAATGCTCTGTCTTGGTTTATATAAATGATATTCTTTGGATTGCTTCATTACAATCTGAACTATCATATATATTATTTATAGCTAAATTCTTCTATGCTATGGCCAACATTTAAGTCAACCTTTCAAAATCCATTCTGGTTACCAACAATCCTCCATCTTATTATATACTTATCTCTTATAATAACCATCTTCTTTCTTTTTATTCTTCTAAAATTTTTTTTTAATTTTTAGGTTGCTAGTTTATTTTGAACAACAAACAATCTAAACAAATAAAATTACTTATCTCTGAATCTTCTCAACTAATTCAAATTGCTAAAACCAAATACATTACTAATTCATATGCTTGCTATATTATTAATATAGTAATTATTCCTATTTTTGAATATCAACTTCAAAATATTGTAATTAATTAATCAACTTGCAACAAAATTTTTACTTAGCACATTGGCTTTGTCAAACTTAAAGCCAAACTTTGTCATACAATATTTTATAGTACCCTTTTACATCTACAAATTTTAATATCAAACACATTTGAGACATTCAACTACAACATCATATTCTGAATCTTCTTAAACAACTTAATAATTCTAACCTATTAGGTACATCTATTTGTATTTGAATCCAACAATTTTTAGTTTCTAATTAGCATTTTCTTTTATCCCAATCTAATTATTAATGGTTCTAACTGCCTAATCACAAATTTTAAAATTATACAGCTTATTAAACATATTGGTTAGATATTCTCAATTAATCCAACTTATAACATTCTTTATACCTTATATAATAGAACTATCTCTCTTGAATTTCTTCTCTCCTCCTATTCTAAATATCCTGTTTTTAAAAAACAACTTAGACATCACAAACTTTTCTTTCTTGACCAACTTACCACCTATGATAATTTATATTTATTACATTGGTGTTATATTTCTTCTAGACTAAACAAACTTTCTAAAGGTGTTATAGCTCAATGGTTTACTACTCTTGAAAACATTATGATAAGTCATTTCTATCAATATATATTATATAATCATTTTAACCTATCTCAATTAAACTACTTTTTTTATACTACTGGCTACTTTAACTCTAATACCAAACTCTGGTTACTTACTGTTTTCAACAATCAAATCATTGTTAGCAAGATCAGAAGGTATAACAGCCCTATAGGCCTTACTCTTATCACTCACTAGCACTATTCATTTTAGTCTCAGTTTTCTAACCCTTATTCTATCTTTTCTTCTACTACTACTATATGCCCTGGATGTTAGCTTAATTCTAATACAATTACTAACAAATGCACTATCTTTATTTTTACAAATTTGGTTATTAAATTATTTTGTCATATTAATTCTGACAAAACTCTTAACTTATATGCCAACTTCCTCAATATTGCATACTCTGTAGCTATTTGACATTCTTTATATATTTCATCTCTTTTTTTATTAACAATCAATTCATAACAATTACCTTGCATCTTTTAATAAGGCCAACTTACTGATAGTTTACAGTCTATTGTTAATTCTAATTATAACCTAACCACTATCTCATTTTACACTAATGGTTCTGTTATTGAGCTTGGTACTTCTTAATGCTCTATGAGCATAGGATAGGTTCAAGTTGATAACTTTACAACTACTCATTTATTTTAGACACAAGTTAAACTTTGACTATGCTCTTTTAAAGCTGAAATTTTTGTTATTCTTTCAGCAATCATTACTGCTTTCAGAAACTGTTCTGTCATATCTTTACTAATTCACAATTTGTAATCTTCAAATTTTACAATATCTGCTCATTAGCTTCTAAACTTTCTTATACTTATACTTCATATTTTTTATTTGGCAAACTCTTATTAACTTCATTAATATATATAATATTCAGCTCACTTTTCACAAAATTACTGCATACCAAGATAACCTATTTAATAATCTTGCTAACCAGCTTGCTCATAGTTATTAAATACTACTCTTCTTAATATTTTTAAATAACAACTCTTATAACTCTACATATATTCCATTTATTAATCAATTTATTATTGAAATTCCTAGTTGATATTCTATCTGCACCATCTGTCAAGCTTATATTATAACATTTTGGACATTCTAATATCATTTTCAATAATGGTCTACTATTGCATCTAATATTAACTAAGAAACTACTTGGCTTTACATTAATAACAATCAAAAAATTTCTAACTTTGCTCATAGCTTTTATTTCTCTATTTTAAAAACCTTTTATGTTAAAATTCTCTTAGATGAACTACCTGTTTTTCATACTCTTCATAAATATAATTCTTCTTAATCTTCTCTTTAATAGCAATGCATTTAAACTAATTCTTCATTACACTAAACTCTTTGTCCTTTCACTTAAACAATTTATCATTTAATCTCTAATTTTTTTAATTACATTTTAAATACTATTGCTTTTGACATATTTGCTAATTTTGTTTCTAATTTATATCAAAAAATTTTTATACTTAATAGTTTTAAACTGTATAACTTTTCTCATATACCATCTCTTATTTCTATTCTATTTAGCTTAGTCCCTATTGACCTTATTTCTACTATTTATAATACTTCTATTTCTTACTGTATAGCTATTTTTCTTTCTATTAAATTTTTTCTTCATTTAAACTAACAAATATACAAACAAATATGGATTCCATATTGCATTTCACATTCTGCACAGTTTTAAAACACATTTACTACAAATTTAATCCATAGTTCTTCTAGTCTACCTTCTATTTCAGTACATTAAATTATTATCAAAATTAACTGTTAGACTATCCAATGGATTAAATATCATACCCCTCTCTCTTATATTATTACTAACATCTAAATCTAGATGAGCCTTAATCACTCTTGTAGGTTTAGGTTGCAGATTATATATCTAAATCTTTATTCTTCATATGTAATTTAAAAACAAGCTTTTCTTTATAAAAACTTCAATTGAATTTTAATAAAGTTAAAGGCATGGCCTCACTATTAATATTAAAAAAAAAAAAAAACTAAGAACTAGTTCAAAAAGAAAAGATACTGTACTACTTAGACAATATATATCAGTTAAGTATATATAAAAAATATAGTAATAATTAGATTATTAACAAAGTAGATAATCAGAAAATTTAAATAAATAATCTTCTAGTAGATTATAAGTATAATATCTAATATAGAACTTCAGAGCAGATTACTTAAATAGACAATTAAAAGTTGTATATATGACTAGCTGTATCTTTATTTTTATAAAAATAGTTGTAAATTAAACTTATAAATAACTGCCATAAAATATAACTTTTAAAAAAACAAAAAAAACATGATCAGATAAAATTTGTGAGTAAAATACATAAATATGATTATAAAAAACAGTATTTCTGATATTAGAATACCATATTAAGTTCTAGAGGTATTTTTGTCTGTGTAACAGTTTAATGATACACAAGTAATTGTCAAGGTAACTGCATGCAAATATGTGGTGAATATAAATATAGAAAATTAAAATAACCAATATAGTACTAATAATGATCCTGTAAATATAACCTTAAAATTATACTATATCAAATTTAGAACCTAATAAACCAACTGGCAGTGTCGCCAAAGTTCAAAAAAAAAAAAAAAAATTTGATTGGTCAAAAATTACAGATAATTTTATCACATACAGTATATACCCTAACTCTACTCTTTTAATTTCAGCCTACACTATACTGTTGCATTTTAGGCCGGAAGTTCTGAATTTGATCTTGTCGATCAGTGAAATCCGTGGTACTTATTTGACCCTCACCCCTCACCTTATTTGCTATAACAGAAAATTAAATTGGTCGGTCTATATCGTTCACTCTTTAAAACAAATGAATAACAAACAAACTCCAAGTAAAGAATTGATCCGTTCTAAAGACAGTGAGACTCCACTTATAAACTCTCCTTTAAAACCAAAACAAGAGATTTTAGACGAAGATACTTATACCGAGGCCTTAAGCGAGATTATTAAAAAGGATTTTTTTCCTTCTCTTTTAACTCTTGAAGCACAGCATGATTATGTGGATGCCTGGAATTCAAATAATCCCGATTTAATCAGAGATGCTACTCGTAAACTTAACGAATTAACTACGCCATCCAGGAAAACGAATGGTATTAAAGTTATATTATTTTTCAAAATTTAATGCTCTAAATCGCTAACATCGTATTTCTGTCTCATTGCATCGAATTAAAGCTCCAACACCAAAAGGACCAGGATTGACTCCAGGATTAACTACTTCACAAGGAGGATGGGATACACCTGTATCCACCGTATTTAAAGTTCCTGCGCCAAAGAAAAGCTACACGAATTTCTCTTTGGACGCTTTTCAAGCAAAATACACAAGCGAGGATAATGCTTCATATCCTTAAAGTATTATATAATTAAATTTTATCACAAAGTCTATTACCTTTTTATTATATCCTTAATCAGTTTGTCTACCTTTTCAGAGCTAATGCACAAAGCTAATGAGCAAAGAAAAGAAAAATATAAATGGATGTATGATAAAGAAAAAGATCCATTATTGCTTGAAGATAATAATGATAAACCAAAGTTAATTGAAGGTGCTTCTCAAGACAAGCCTGCTGAAATTGATTCTTGGAAATATAAAGTTAATATCGTTTAATCTTGTTTTTTTCATCTCATTATTTGATTCCCTTAACTTTTATTGTTATAATGCCTTGAATGTTATATTAGGTACGAAATTCATTAATGTTTTATCCTGAAGGCCAAGACCAAGTTCCTGAAGAGAATTCAAGAAGAGCTCCAAAACAGATAGTCCACAATGCTACGAGATTCGAATCAACAGACGAAGCTGTGAGAAATAATGCATTATTCTTTAGTGTTTTGTATATCGTCCATTTATTTAATCCATGCGTTTTATTTTCATCTTCAATTGTATAGACAATTTACAATCATGCTGCCGCAACAGCTGCTGCTGTTGGACTTAACTTAGATTCGACTCCAAGTTTGTTTGACCTTTTTTTTTTTGACCATATCATATTACCAAAAATTCGAATGACACTGTTCATACTACTGTTCATATAGATGAAAGTGCTTCTCATACTCCTCGCGTTGGTGGTTATAGTTTCGTTTCTGCTACACCATCTCCCAATCCTTCACAAATTGACACCTCAGAGCTTATGACCTGGGGTATGATTGAAGGAAGCCCTTTGTTGATCGGAGGAGATCAAACACCAGGTATTTTATTTGCTAAGATAAAATTTTTTCGGTTGCAAAGTTTCCAATATTATTTCGAAACCATGCTGGTCAGTATTTAAGAGTTATGCAAAATATGTTTATCGACTAGTTCTTGTAAACAGATAAGAGAGTGAGATTGAACTTAAATGTGAATAAGATTTTTTTTTTTAATCATTTATAATTTTTTTAAAGGACCCTCTTTTCAACTGCCGCCAACCCCTCGAAGAGAAATTATTGGAATGAATCTTTCAAGCAATGCATCCAGAAGTATTCGTAAACGTAATTCATCAATGAAGTCACCACGAACTCTACACAGTCCAATTTCAAGGTTTGCATCTTTGATTATGTAAAGCGTTTATTGTCACTTTTTTATGTACTAAATCAAAATTTCCTACAGGATGGCTAGTCCCAGAGTACGCGCGTCTTTATTATCACCTGCAGCGCGTAAATTACTACATAAATCGGGTTTCCCTTATGTCAAGCAAAAAGGGACCTAGGAATCGACCCCCGGGATTGTAATTCTGTGCAAATTTAATATAAAATTTTTTAAGATTTTGTGCGACTAATAAAAATTTTTTAAAAAATCAATTTTATTATTAATTTTAACAATCAACATCAATTTCATTAATAAATCATCCAAAAAATATTTATAAAACATCTACAAAATCTGTAAAGTGTAAAAAATCAAAGTAGACCAAAAATTTCAATAAACAATTTGTTAAAAGATATATGAGAATACTCTGGGTTCTAACAAAAAAAATTACTTGCTAAACTTTACTACGTATAAAATATTTTCTTTTACCTGTGTAACTATCTAGGGTTCGAAATGAGCGGGCTAAACCCAGAAATTTGCGGGCCGGGCTTGGGACCCATATTTTTGAGCCGAATATTATTTGGGTCGGGCCTGGGCCAGGCCCACTAAAATGCCTAAATATGATAATATATTTGCTAATCTTAATTTTGCGTGTTTATTGCTGTCAAAATTCCATTTTTTGTATGAAAAATTTCATTTTATTCATACCAATACAAATTAGATCATTTATTGTATTGTGAGCCCTGAATTCGAACCGAATGCTGTGATGTAGAGCTGTTAAAAACTCGAGTCGGCTCGAAGTAACATTAGAAGTCAACTTAAACCAACTTCAGGTTATACAAAAATCATATGACATTTTTATTTTTATATTTTTATTCAAAAAGATAATTATAATGATAAAACTAAATACAGTAATGACAAAGAAATAAAACTACATTACACTTTTTTGTTATTAAATAACCTCTTCCCCAAACCAACCTTTTGAACATAAGGAGGTTCTAACTATTTTTTCAAGACAATTTCTAGTAGCATTTATAGTATGCTTTGCAATAGAAAAAGCACACACATAGGAATATTTGTAATTTTAAAGCAAAGTAATTTGTTGCAAGACTGGTTACAGTTAAATAACATTAAGTATTTGTTTTCCATCAAAGTAGTGAATTTATATCTAGTTCACAAGATAAAAAAAGGTATTCTGCTAACTTGTTTTCTGTGTTTGTTGCAATTTCTTATATTTGTTTAATTTACAAGTTTTTTAAAACCTTTTAATAAATTTTTAAATTTGGTAACCAGTACTGATTTATTTTTATTATATAATAAATAAGAATTTTTTAACTCATCAAGAGTTAACATATAGTCAATTTCAAAAAATAGTTTAAACTTAGTTGATAGATTAAGAAAAGCAAAAATAGTAGATGTTTTAAGATAAACTCAATATTTATTTAATTTATTTTTTATTTCTTTGTCTATTTTGTTATATGTATTAACAATATATGAAGTAAAATAAATTAAAAATTCTTGAATAATTAATTATAAAAAGTTTTGTAAGAATTGTAAAATATTTGAAAAAATTAAAGTTGTTATATAAAAAAGTTTGAGAAATTGCATAATATCTTTAATAATTTTCTAATTATTAGTTTTTAAATAATTACTTTTTAAATTTAAATAAAATTTTGTATAAGATTATTAATAATAAAACAAATATTAATAAGTTTTTTAAGTATTAAATAAGTAGAATTCAATTTTGTTTTAATATTAATCAATGATTAAAGAAGTTGACAATTATAGACCTGTGGGTCAATAGTGCAGTGGTTAGCACTTCCAGGTCACATTTGCAAGGTTGTCAGTTCAATTTCAACTGGGGGAAAAAGCTGTGCCAGGACCACGATTGTTATGATCTTAAGGTGATTTTTCACTTCTACTTTCAGACAAGAATATTACAAGAATGAATGATCTACAAGAATTGCTTACTTTCAATTTTGGACAAAGTACTACAGCAAGAACAAGTCAAGTGACATAGCCACAGGGTTACACAACACCCAAATAAGGAGATAATCCGACAAGAAACGTCGATAATATAAGGATTCCAGATTAGAAAAAAAATTACTGTAAAAGGCAATAAAGATAAGAAGACGGAACCTGAAAGGACCATTGTTGATAGGGAACTGCAGACTTGAGTAAGGGGTCCTACACCATGAGGCCAGGGACCCAGGTTATTACAATAGTGATAAACTTGTTAATAATGTAGTATGGTAGGACTAGGGAACACCACTGGTGATGTACATAGCAACTAAATATGTAAACCTGTAGGTTCCAAACATTAAAGTTAATAAAGAAAATTAGAGTGCTACATGTGCCCCATGATGTAACGCATCGGGGATAGTTAAAAAAAAAGAAGTTGACAATTTAAAATAACAAATATTCTTTTCATTTCTTTTAAAATTAAAGATGTTTTTATTTTATTACAAAAATATTAAGTCTTTTGAACTTGAATTAAATATTTTTTTAATCTATCTTAATTATTAGATTAATAATATAAGCAGTACAATGTATATGTTCAAGGTTTGGGTTTATAAATCTTTAAGAAAAATATAAATATATAAAATTATTAGTTGTATTATTATTATTAAAGCTAATTATATATATATATATTTTTGTTTAAAAGTTATATTTCATAATAGTTATTTTATTAACATATATTGGAGTTAGTATTACAACTATTTTTATAGTAATAAGAATAAACTAGTTATATATACAACTTTTTAGAGTTCTATACTAGATGTTATACCTTAGAGACTCCAGATGTTGATAGTTAAAATAGTTAGCAAAATTAGTTAGTAAAATTTGTAAATTTAGCAAAATAGTAAATAATAATTTATGATAATCATATATAATATATATTTTTTTAATTAGAGATCTTTATATTCCCATATGTATATGTAATAATAATATCTTGGGTCATTGGATATTAGTGGATTGATCTCAGACAGTGATAACAGAAATACATAACTGATACTGGTTAGCTACGTAAGCAGCTGATTAGTATCAGTTATATATTTCCGTTATCACTGTCTGAGATTAATCTACTAATATTTAGTAATCCAAGATATTATTAATTAATACTCTGACCTCTTATATGAAAAAATATGTCATTAGCTTATATGTTTAAGCTTATATGAAATGATATTAATTTGATAATTCAAATATATAATTCAATTTCTCTTTCTTTTTTAATACAAAAAATAAAAAATAAAAATGAACTATTCTTTTATGAAAACTTCTGATTTTAAACTGTTATGTAGGCTATAATAAGTTTTCTAGTTTTATAAAAAAAGCTTGTTTTATTACAGATATTAATTGTGCTAATAGCAGGACTGTAAACTATTCTTTTTACAAACATACAGCTCAAAATTGAATAATACTGATGTAGATATTTAGGCTGAAATAGGCATTATTAAACATTGCACAATAGAGGCATACAATATGTATAGGTCACAAAATGAACAGAATCAATAATAAATACAAAAATAATTAGAATCAATTTAATTGTCCGAAATCGATCAAGATTCTATTTACTTCTTTAATTATTCTGTAAACAATTCAAAATAATAATATCCAGAGGTTTTCATATTGATAGTTAACTTTACTAATTGTAAATTTAATTGATGATCCACCAATTATCTAAAGAAATTTTTATATGATAATGTGACACAGATCACATATATATAAGGCATGAATTGAAATTTTGAGGTTATAATTAAAATTGCCAAATTTAAATAAATTTT